GAGCTACACATATTTGCCTCTGTTGGTTTCCCTATTGTGTGGAAGATGTTTTCTATGAAATGGAAAACCACAGAGAAAGAAAGCATAACCTATTATACAAACTTCTTTAGAATTCTATAGTTGCATAGGTGGCTGGCTGGAGAATTCTGGGAGTTGAAGTCCACACATCTTAAAGTTACCAAGGTTGAGAAAACTGAAATAGAGGATACATAAATAAACTAAAACAGCAAAAATTAGTGGTAGAATAAGAACAAGGTAGACCAGATAGGAAACACAGCCAGATGAGCTAGTTCTATTTTATTGTAAGGTTACATTAATAGAATCTTGCATGTCTGAAGGTACATCTGTCTCCCCTGTCCCTTTTACAGCCGAAGAAACTAGGGAGGGTCCCTTCTGAGGCATTTTCCCTGCCCACATTTAAGCTAAGTTGCCTTTTATCTGACCATTCGCTTGACTGCATCTCTTCTCCTTGTCACCCAAGTTCATTCCCACATACCATTACATTTTGAGACATGGCATAAAACTGACAACAGTCATATCAGAAGGCATAGTTACCTTTTGTTAATTGCATTAAGAATAAATATGAACATAAATGTATGTTAGTCATTTGTTTAATGACCTGCATATGAAACCAATTGTGTTTATATTTACAACTAACAGAATTTTTTGCATTGTAATACTAAACAAGGTTTCATTCATTGTGATGAAGGCCCCTTCATCACAAATGCAGAGAAATGTGATCACAGAGGGGTTTGACAGCCCAAATTGCTGTTACTGTACTGCTAATAAAAGGCTGAAACCAGCACTAACCCTTTACTCAGCTGAGAGCAATGCTACTGATTTTATAATAGCCACAGAAATGGGAGAGGAGACTCCTTACTAGCTTTAACTAGGAACAAGTGCAAGGTCACAATTGGTTCACTCTTTAATTATGTTGATGCTATCCCAAAATGCCCAACTTAGCATCAAAGGGTGGGTCTACTAAAGGCCAGAGAAATTCACCAAGTTATTAATTGACCAGGTTATTTCTCTGCTTTCCTTTCACCAGATATGATGATGATGATGATGATTTCCAGGAACAACAGTCTGGAAGCTCCCAGAGCTAATTTTTCAAGGAGGAAACAGTCATCTAGTCTAGTATATGCTATTACTAGAACACCAGGTGCAAAACCTGCCAACACAACACCTCTGTAATTATTAAAATGCACATTCAACCAACAAATTAAAATTTATAAATGCAAATGCCCATTGCAGCATATGATCCAACTGTATCACAATGGAGACTTAAAAAAACATGGGATGTAAAATTAATCTCGAATACAATTTGACTTTAATTTCTCTTATGATAGGTCCACAGCCTTTGTCATCTGTGGCCCTTCAGCACTGTCTTTTAAGGGGTTCTATAAGATCTTATTTAAATGCATGCTTGAGGATACAAAAATGTACACATCATTTTGTGGTGCAAAAATACTGGATGAATAAGAGACACTAAGCTGGTTCACTCATGTAAGTAGACCACTCTGTAGCACCAATTAGCAACGTACAGTATGTGGATGAACAAGACAGCATCACAGATCCAGACCAATGCTAGTTACTTGTTTGTGGGCAAAGCTTTTGTTTCCTTTTGTTTTCTTTCTGGGATTTCTCAATCTGTTGGGAAATTGTTGATTCATATTCTATATGTTTTTTAGATTATGATATCTAAGAATGTCAAGAGTATGCATTTTCTGTTGACAGTAGATGCTGATTCAATGAAAAGTGCTCCATTATAACCAGGTGGGTCAAACTAATTTCACTGGGCTGTTATAAACCTAAAAAGGGAAGAAATAAAGTATGTCATATGGAGCATCTTGAAGAAAAGTCAACGTATCATGCAGACTTCCCAGATCTGGGCATCTTCTAAATACGTAAACTTCAACCTTCATAATTTCCCATGTAGTATATCCATTGCTGAAACTTCTGAGTGTTAATATTTACACACCCAGAAGGTGTCAAGGT